TGCCCCAGAAAGCCAATCAAAGAAACAAGTGGTGATGAAGGCAGGAAAGGCGCTTTATTAATAGTGTGATCACACCAGGAAGAACAGAGACCTAATGACCTAAACTCTGCCTTTACTTTAGAGGAAAGAGAGGCAAAGGGAAGGATAAGGGGTTTCCATGGTAGCAGTCCAGATCATCTTGGCCTGGCCATGGTTTATTTTGTCATTAACTCAGCAATATCTCAGTATAGGCAATGCAGAGCTATGTTGGTGCCAAGAAGGTCTCTGTTGCTTAAGGGTTAGTTTTGGTCCCTTGTCTTAAGATGTTCATCAGTCAGCCTGTTGTTTCTGGGATCCAAGGTAACTGTAGGGAAGAAAGACTCAGGAGAGCTCAGGAGGTAAAAATGAAACACAATGCAGTCAGAAACAAAATGGAGTTAGTGAGATCAGCGATTGGGCCCTTGTGGAAATCAGCTGTGTCCTATTCTGAGGTTTCTCCATATTGTATTGAACAGTAACTTTCAGGCTGTACCTTGCCCTGAATGACTCCATTTCATAAAACAGAAGTTTGATCCATTTTGAGTGCAAATGCTAAGGCAGAATAACTCTACATCTTATTTGTGCAAGTAAATAACCACCATCTGTCCAGCAAAAACCATGAGGCAAACTGATAAATAATTTATTTATGCAAATAAAATATTACCACCTATAAACTTATCAAATTAAATCAGGAACACATGGACATATGGTCATATCAAACTCATTGCAGAAAAAAACAGGCTCATGAGGTTATCCAACACACAGACAATTAAGTGACACAATTCCTTCACCTGGATCATATAAAAGGGGGGTGCATCTAACACTGAAGTATGACAGCACACAGCAACCCATCATCATACCATCCAGTGCATGCATCATGGATTGACAGATAACAAATTCCCAGCTCTATCCCTGGGGTTTCAGTTCAGCAAGTTCCCCTTACTTAACATGACACATTTGAATTGTCTGCCCTGACCCAGTAAGCCTAGAACCAACTCTGGGCCTTGTGCCAGCATTGTACCTTGAACTACCTCTGAGTTTTGATACACTGTGCCTCAACAGTTCTGTGACTGTGTTCCTTTTATTAATATCTATCTAACCCTCTTTGCATCTGGATCAGCTTTCTGCTCTTGCCTTCAGCAAGGCCTCTTTGAACCCTACAACTGCTTAAACCCATTCCTAGTCATTCTGTAACCTATATGTTGTTATGAGGTGCAATAAGTGATCTGAGAGTTAATATTAGTGATTAATATTAAAATAAAAGAATGGTTCATGGTTATCAAGAGAAATTCATAGTACTTGACAAATTAATGCCAAGAAAATTGACATAGCTTGTGAATTATATTGTTATTTGGTAACTTATGACATTATGGAAAGATATAGCATGTCTCTCTCAATATCCAATATAGCTCAATCACAAAGGCCTTCCTTCAAATCAAGCCATCATTCCATTTCTAGGGAAGTTGGGCCAAAGGAAGGGCACAGTTACAAAAGCAGCTTGCTACTTAAACTCAACTATGAATCCTTTGGTAGTTTGGAGTGATAGTGGCATAGAAAGAAGGAAAGCTCTGAAATCAGACTAGCATGTAAATCCCATTTTGCTATGTAACCTTGGACAAGTTACTTATTGTCACTTGGTGTCAGTTTCCTCATCAGTAAAATATGAATGCAAATATTTTGTCCTTGCTATCATGCTGAGTTGTTATGGATATTGGAGATACCATATGAAAGGAATCTGGCATATCATAAATTATAGTTAGAGCTTCAATTCTAAAAGTGAATGTAACTTCAGTTCCCTTCCAATGCTAACTGTATATCAAAGTTTTATTTTTTTTGTGGGACTGGGGTTTGAACTCAGGACTCAGGGCTTTGCACTTGCAAAGCAGGTGCTCTACCATTTAAGCCACACCTCTAGTCCATTTTTGCTGTGGTATTTTTAACCATAGCATGAACTATTTTCCCAGGCTGGACTCAAACCATGAAACTCCAGATCTCAACCTCCCCAGTAGCTAGGATTACAGGCATGAGCCACCAACACCTGGCTCAAACTTTTTTTGATTATACACTCCATTTTCTGTAAAATTATTAATTTATGATGATAATATACTACTGACTTAATACTTTATATGCAGCATGAAATATATGCCAAAAATATAAATAAAAAAGGAAAATTTGAAAAACCTCACATAAGTAAAAGGCCTAATATTTTCTTTCTATAGCAGGTGGATTGTTTTCCACAGAGAATGCTGGAACTTATGGCAGTGTCAGAATTCAGTGCTATAGGTCTCTAGCAATAACCATTGTTTCTCACTTGATATAAAACAACCTATTACATAAAGAGGAGAGGCAATGTTCTCTCCTGAGTGTGAAGCCAGCTCTGGGTGTTGCTTTAATGTAACTGCCATTTGCCATTGATGATTGTCCTTACTCCTCTTCAGGGAAGTAAGAGGGAGAGGATGCAGTGTGAGTGGTTTCTTCAATAATAAAATAAAACAACCTATTAGAAAATATCATGGGATGTATTATTTGCAATAATTAGAATGATTTCCCCAGTAGCCAATCAAACCTTAATTTTTTTAGGTAAAACCCTAAAAGTCTGAAATGTAGGAAAGAATCACATTTTCAATATGTTACAAGTATTTTCAATTGTGCCTCTTCTGCTTCAAATAATGTCCAATTGCCTTTATCTTCTTTTTTGTTTTAAGCTACTAAATAGTTAATTTCTTCAGTTACACTCTTATACCTCCTCCTATTCCACTAATTCTTTTATCTACACATATCCTTCTTTTGATAACTGGCTTTAGTCCTATAATTTTCATGTTATTCTTTGACCATTGACAGTTTGATTTTCTGGTCCAGTGTATAATATAAGCTTTATTCCATTTAATATCCATAATTTTCTCTTCTTGCTTAAATACATATGACACTGTGCTTTTTATTTTGTGTCCATAAATTCTGTGCATACTAGCTCTAATTTTACTCTGCGTACTTTAGGGAAGACGATAATGGGAATCTACCAAATCACATTGCTTTTTTCAGTTTATTCTTTCTAGTTGTGATAATGGAGTTTAAAAATTGCTAGCATTTACTGTGACTATAATACCAGTCACAGTATGTGATTTCTAATATACAAATATAGATAGGCTAAGTAATTTGAAGAAAAAGCAGTCATTGAGAGAGGTCATAGGTAAAGCATTAATAAATTCTAATAATATATGTAGTCTCCAATAATGCTTTTATGTGCCATAGTCTTTTTAAACTATTAATTTACATGTAATATTAGCTTTAAGGCATCTTAAATCCTTTCAAGACGTTATAGTTATTTTTAAGCCAAGATTTATTAAACACTGAATGTATATTAAGTCTTGTGCTAAATACATGGATTATATCATTTGATTATCATAGCAAATTAGTGAAATAGAGGCAAAATAAGGACTAGAACATAGCCTTGTTGATGTAAAGGCTACATGGTAGACTATGATGCTATCTTGCCTCCAATAATAAGTACTCATGGCCCCAAAATGAGCACTTGACAAACTTGGGCTAAAGTTTCATTTGTAACGACATTTTAATTCTAGTATAGCTTATTTCACATCCTGAATCTAAAGGAGATATCCTAGTGTACATAATCAAAACATAACATCTTACCTATAAAATGTATAATTATCATGTGCCAGTCAAAAACTAAATGAGTAAACTTTTTTAAAAATCTGAATGGTTTCCACTGGAGAAAAGGTAAAAGAATAAATTTCATCAGTGAGGGGAAGAATAAAGCACATCAAATTAATAAATACAGTGTTAGTGACAACATAAAAAAATTTATGACCTGCTCTTAAAGTCTCAGAACTTTTTGGAAATACAAAATTTTGACTACCATAAATTTTTCCTGAGTCAACATCTTCAGTCTGTATAATGTGAACATACCACATATATACATGTTCTACTTTATAATGCATCATGTTAGTTTATTAGTTCTAACAATGTAGAAAAGTTGACATACCACATTGTATTACCTTGCCATGTAGGTTTTCAAAGACTTGTTTTTCCACTTTTTTTTTTGGTGGTCTTGGGGTTTGAACTCAAGGCTTTGTATTTGCTAGACAGGCACTCTACCACTTGAGGCATGACTCCAGTCCATTTTTCCAAGTTTAGAGGTTAAGAAATTCTAAGCACTATGTAAAAATTAAATATACCAATAACTGTGTATGTATTCTAGATGATATGTATATTCTTTATGAAAATATTCATTCAAATTAATTCATTAAAAATTATTTTGACAAATTACAAAGCCTCTACCAGTGTACATTTCTCATTTTACTTTCTGTCATTTAATTTTTAGTATCTTTGGTATATGGATGAGACTAAGAATATGAAAATATATTCTCCCTTCTAAGTTTTAATATTCTCTATTAATAGATAGTGTTTATTCATTTATTTACTTAATAGGGTCTCACTATATAGCCTAGGCTGGCCTTGAACTTGCAGTGTAATTCAGGCTGGCTTTGAATTCACCATGTTCCTGCTTCACCTTCCCAAGTACTGGCCTAATAGATGACATCCATTTACATAGATACATTTTAATTAATTCCAGCTCAGAAAGCTTTCTACTGTTATAATACACTCTATTATTTGTAGAACCCTTCCATATTAACTCCATTTCGGAATGCTTGATTAAATACCTAGATTATCTCTGGTGTCGTGTTATGTCTTTAAAAATTATCACTGAAGGAATTATTTTAAACAAATTATAAATAACTAAATTATAAATATTTTTCTTTTTTTTCAGTGCTGTGGCTATTACCCAGGGTTTTGCATATACATGGCCAGGCAAGCACTCTCCCACTAAGCTAGGTCCTCAGCCCCTTATTTTCAACTATTATGAGAGTTCTAGAAGTTTCCTAGAAAGTTTTATCAAGAAACTATACTTTGTGAGAAATTTTTTAACGCTTTCAAGTTTTATAGAAGTGTTTTGTATATTGCAGATATTGAAGCAGAAAGAAATAATAAAAGACAAAAAGAAACAAATGTCACCACACAGGTAAGTATTTTATTAAGTCATTGTATTTCTCAACAGAAAGTAGACTGTAGGCACTGCTAGTTGTACTTAGCCTGCTCAGAATTACTTCAGCAGACAATTGCTTGCTATCATTTCTTTTTTTTTTTTTGAAAATTCTCTATCAATTTAATATCTTCATTCACGAACATTTTCTCCGTCCACTGTAAGACTGTAAGGATAAGACTGTTCTTAGTTGGGAGCCTTCTCCCAAGTAGTGTCTTACCAGTGGTCCTAAGCATTAAAACAAAAAGGGCAGAGACCAGTTTGGCTTAAAGAGTTACAGATGCTTGCGAAACTTTGTAACCTCATGATGTCTTCTAATATCTTGGAAGCAGAGGATTAAAATTTTCATTCTACTCTTAACCCAACAACCAGTGTAATTCTGTAAATATAAGTCACTTTAAGTTACTCCTTACTTAAAACCAATTAGCGACTTTCCATCTCATATACAGCAAAAACAAAAGCCCTTGCAATCACTTGCTTACTGAGCTTAGTGGTCTGACCTCTCTTTTTCTCTAATATCTTCTCCTACTGCCTCCCTTATATCACTCTAGACACACTGGGTTCCATGCCACTCCTCAGAAACCCCAGGCATGTGCACATATTTCTGTTCACTTACTGCAATGCCTTTGCACCCAGATATCCATGTGGCTCCTTCCCTTCACTTCCTTTGGGTTTTTGTTCAAACGCTATTGTTTCAGTGTCCTTCCCTGGACACTTCCACCTAAAGTTGCAAACACTATCACGTCACCTCCTTCTATCTTCCTTTCCTGCTGTACTTTTCCTCTTAGATTCATTACATGTAACACACTATTTTTTATTATGTTTATTGCCACTCTCTCTTCGCCAGAATATAAATTCCATGAGAGCAGGAATTTTTGTCTGTGTTGTTCACTGTGGTTATAACCCAGCAACTAGCACTCAATAAGTTGTTTTAACAGTTTTGTTTTTGAGACAGAATCTTGCCATGTAACCTAGGCTGGCTTCAAACTCATGCTCTTCCTGCCTCAGCCTTCAGAGAGCTGGGATTATAGTCATGTACCACCAGGCCCAGCAAAAAATGTTCGTTGCATTAATGAACAAATCTTAAATCTAAATTGAAGGAGTAAAATGTGAAAAAATTTATGCAAATTAAATGTCTGTCTACATTGCAACATTTTCTAAATCCTTCCAAATTTAGCTTTTATTCCATCACTGTAACTGTCACATCCCATGATCAATAATGAAGTTATTATCAGTAAAAGTAGAAGTGAGCTTTGCAGAACTCTCACAGTTTATCCTTGGGTAGGTGGATACTGAAGGGACACCAGTTTCATCATGGCCATCATGCTTTCTCTTGTGGGTTCTTGGTATCTTGTGATATGCAGTGTCCGCCTGGTAACACTGGGATTCCCTTGGGAATCCCATTACCACTTCAGATCAAGAATGCTGTTCAGTCCAGGTATGGTGGTACATGTCTATAATCCCAGCTACTTGGGAGACAGAGGCATGAGGATCACAGGTTTGAGGCCAGCCTGAGCAAAATTAGTGAGACCCAATCGCAAAAACTCAATAAAAAACCAAAAGAGTCGGGGATATGGCTGAAGTGTAGAGTGCTTGCCTAGCAAGTACAAAACCCTGGGTTCAATTCCCTGTAACACACACACACACACACACACACACACACACACACGCACACATGCTGCTTAGATCCATAAATGCCCTGTCAACACCCAGATTAGTAGATGTGGCCTTTGGAGTAAACACAGAATAGGAACCCACCCTCCTTGCGTACTTACCTATAGCCTAGACACAAAAGAAAACTGAAAAATGTACTATTTTTGTAACAAAACTAAGGGGGGAATGTGCCAAGACAGCCTGTTTGTAGATAGCTTATTTTGTCCAATTTCTTGCAGAATCTGCTTTATAAAACTTCCTTAGCACTAACCTTATAGAACATAGACTGCAGGAAAAAAAGGCCAAAAACAATGACTCTTGTGCAAAGTTCCCTTACATCCAAGCCATACCACAATCAGCACAAAGTACCCTCAGTTCAGAGAACTTGCCATGGTGTTTCCATGGCTCCTTGACAATGAAATAGCCCTATATGGCTAAATATGTCCTTTCCCTACTTCTACCTCCACTGTAGACATGGAAGATTCTGGTTATCATTCATTACAGTGACCACTTATAATTAAAATAAAAGCCTAAGGAAAACTGCTTTTTCCTTAGTTTTTCCCCTTTCTGGCTTTAAATTGCTACAGTATACACACACACACAAAAATGTCATTTATTCCACCATCCCTCAAGACACTTTTAAACATACACACACATCTTTAAAAAATATTTAAGGCACTTGTCTTATGTTAAGGATCCAATATTGTCAGTTCTGTGCATCATTTCCTTCAGTATTTAAGAATGATCATGATCATACAGGTAATAATGTATCTAATATACTATGAGAAAATAACCAAGGCCCCTGGAGTAATCTTTTTCTCTCGCTCTTTTGTTGGAGCAAGCTTTTTCTCACTGCTGGTTATTATTGAACCTAACTGGGGCTAACTGGGTGGTGATGGGAGATGCAGAAGGGACAAAGGATAGACAGACAGAAAGTGGGATCAGGTGTGTTGGGTGCTCGGTTGGAGATGCACAACCCTCATTGCTTCTTTGTCTCTATTAATCTCTTCATTTACTCTGTTTATTTTCTCTATCTATATTCTTTAAGGCCTTACCCCTTTACAGTGCTTTTTTCAAAAGCAAATTCTGGCACCATGATTTCTGACATTAAATTCAGTTTATATTCAGAATTATATCCTTATAGTTAAGCAGTATTTTAAGCTTTATAAAACCCCTTTACATATAATTTCTTTCCTTCTAACATCTTTGTGAAGGATAATTGGTTATTTAAATGGCTATTATCCACATTTTGCAAATTAGAATAATCAGGCCCGTTAAAATTTAAGAGATCTTAACATTATAAATTTTCAGTATACTCATCCATTCAAGACAATGCCTATATGTACTTATATACAATTACTAGAATTCAGAATTTTCAAAGATTCTAAAAGTAGTTTCATACTTCCTTAAACCTCTATTTAACATTACTTAAACTTAATTGTGAGCTTCTGACATATAAGACAGTATCTTTTTCAACTTTTTAGTGGAATGCTTTGCATATGGTAGAAAGCTGTAAAGGTTTAACAAGATTTCGTTAAATATGCCACCATCTGTCCATTGGTCATACAATGTGTAAATTCTTCATACCCTGGACTTTATTTTCTTTCTAATGACCCATCTTGGTGTCATACTTCTCCAAATGTTATCATTACCTTCATTTTAACAGAATCCTGGTTGTCTTCTGGGGACTTTTTCCTCTGCAGACCTCCCAAGCATCTTCTCCCACAAAGCACTAATGTTGGTCCGGGATCGGGTGGTATGTGTCCTTCTCCCTGCTTATTGCTACCTTCTCACTGGAAAGCAGTAAGAGATGAGGAGAGTAATTTGTGGACTTTTTCTTCTCTGGCTTCATTCCTGGAGATTTCAATATTCATGAATAATCTTAGCATCTCAGCTCCATTGCTTGGATCTTCCTGTCTCTGATAATCATACCCTTCTCTCCCCCTTCTAGTCTCTGATAACTGTTATCTTTCCAAGTTGTTCCATAAATGCTCCAAACTCACCAGGACCTCAAATCCATTTGTCCTTTTAACTGCTCCTCACCCCCTCATGTTCCCATTTCTCTTCTTACTTGGCTTAGAGTGGAAGACTCACCACTACATGATCACAGACCCTTTTCCAAAGCAGTAAGAGCAAATATATTCCAGAATTCAGAACAGGGGGTTGTTTGTGCACTAGAGATTGAATTTAGGACCTCAAGTTTGCTAGGCAAGTGCTCTGCCACTTGAGCCAGATCCCCAAATCTTTTTGCTTTCAGTTTGTTTTTTTAGATGGCGTCTCTTGCTAACTTTGCCCAGGATGGCCTGGGCAATCATCCTGTTTCCACCTCCCAAGCTTCTAAGGTTAGGGGATCACAGGTAGACACTACCATACCCACCAGGCTGTTTTTTTAACTGTGATAAAATATACCTGATATTAATTTTACCATCTTAACCAGTTATATATATGTGTGTGTATGTATATACATGTATACATATATATATGAATTTATATTATTTATTCAATCACCCATCAAGAGATCCTGGGTGTCTTAGACCTTTTGAATATTGTGAATTATACTGCTATGAACAAATGTACAAGTATCTCCTCAAGACTCTCTTTCAATTCTTGTGGGTATATATACCGAAAGTGTAATTGTTAATTCATTAGGTTATTCTATTTTTAAATTATTTGTGGAATTTCAATCAGTTTTCCACAGTGCCTGTAACATTATACATTTCCACCAACAGTGGACAAGGGATCCGATTTCTCTAATATTTCCTATTTTCTGGTTTTTGTTTCTTTTTTTTTTTGTAGTCCCGTCCTAATGGATGTATGGTTGTATTTTATTATGGTTTTGATTTGTATTTCCCTAATGATTAGTGAGACTGAGCTTATTTTCATGTGCTTATTGGCTATTTGTATATCTTCTTTGGAGAAATTTCTATTTAAGTCCTTTACTCATTTTTTAATCAGGTTATTTGTTTTTTATGGTTGAACTATAGTCATTCTTTATTTCTTCTAGATATTAACTCACTGCTTGATTTGCAAATATTCTTTTCTATTCTTTGGATTGCCTTTTCATTCTATCAATAGTGTCCTTTCATACATAGGAGTTTTTAATTTTGATATCCAATTTGTCTGTCTTTACTTTTGTTGACCATGCTTTTGGGGTCATAGCCAAGATATCATTACCAAATCCAATGTCATGAAGCTTTCTCCCTATGTTTTCTGCTAAGAGTTTTATAGTTTTGGGACTTATGTCTTTGATACATTTTTTATTAACTTTGTATAGCGTAAGGTAAGGTAAGGTCCATTCCCTTGCCTGTGGATATCCAATTTTGCCA